CTGTGGCTCAAGTGGTAGAGCGCTAGCCTTGAGCTGAAGAGCTGAGGGACAGCACCCAGGCCCAGAGTTCAGGCCCCACGACCGGACCCAAAAAAAACAAAAAACAAAAAAAAAAGAAGAACTTGAACTTGAGCCTGCCTGGGCCGACTCGGAAGTCAGGGTTCCGTGTGTCCCATGCCACCCGGACGGCTTGGCTCCCCCGCAGGTATGGCGATGCTGTGCGGGAAATCGATGACAGCGTTGGGAAGATACTGAGTCTCCTGAGGCGCCTGGGCATGGAGCGGGACACGTTCGTCTTCTTCACATCCGACAATGGCGCTGCCCTCATCTCTGCACCCAAGGAAGGCAAGTTCCCTCCACGGCAGCCTTGGGCTGATGCCGAGCGCTTCTACTCCGAGGCCTTCACGCCCTCAGGCAGAATAAGAGGGGCTCCCTGTGAGGAGGGCGGGCCGGAGCATGGCCTGAGGGGGAGCGGGCACAGGCCTGAGAGGCCAGGGGAGGAAGCCACCCCAGAACAGCAGTCTCCAGCCCCTCAGCGGGAGGCTGCAGTGCGTGGGAGCAGGGGTGGCTGCCGCAGGTGGCGGGAGAGACACCAGCAGGGGCTTTGACGCCTGGGCTTCAGTAGTGTGGTGGTGTTCCGTTCCTGGCTTCGGTAGTGTGGTGGTGTTCCGTTCCTGGCTTCGGTAGTGTGGTGACAGTGTTCTGTTCCTGGCTTCGGTAGTGTGGTGACAGTGTTCTGTTCCTGCGTGTAAACTCTGTTCCCGTGTTCTCTCTGTGCTCAGGGCCTGAGGTAGAGAGTGTGCTGCCCCTGTGGCCCCGGCTGCCCAGCCCCTTGGAGCCCTTGACTCCGCATGGCTGGAGCTGCAGCTGTTTCTCAGGCTGGGTCTTTGTCTCCAGCAGCCTGTGAACACAGGCTGGAAAACCCAGGCGTGGGATCTGAGATGGCAGATCCTGTGCGCCACCCGGGGGAGCCCCCTCCCCTGCAGGCCACCCAGAGCCCTGTGCAGACACAGCCCGGGCCTCAGACATCCTGGGGAGCCTTCTCAAGAGCTTTCCCAAGACCACCTGGCAGCGAGGCCTGGGATGGCCCGTGCCCTCCCGTGACTGCCTGCCAGGGGCATTGTGGGACCTCCCTCTGACAGTGCTGACTCTGGTCCTCAGGCGGCAGCAACGGCCCCTTCCTGTGTGGGAAGCAGACCACATTTGAAGGTGGCATGCGGGAGCCGGCGATTGCGTGGTGGCCAGGGCACATCGCTGCAGGCCAGGTAAGTAAGTCACTGCCCTCGGAGACCCGCATCTCCCGCAGAACCTCAAGAGGCCGCTGGTGCCTCTCGGGAAGGAGGCTCCTGTGGGTCCAGTTGGTGTGGCGGTGCTGGGGAAGCAGGTCCTTCCTCGGTGCCGTGCGGAGCTTGGAAGCGTCTGGCCTGAGCACAGGCAGGCCAGGGCTGCGGGACATGTCGGGCCGTGTGGAGTGGGCTGGCTCCCGCACAGGGCTCCTGCCGTCTCAGGAAGAAACCCAGCAGGCGCTCCGAGTGTCTGCGTCATCCCCTGGGGAGGCCCTTCCTGCAGGCCGGCATCGGCTGAGGCCCTTCCTCGGGACCCGCCGTCCCCTAGTGGGCGTGCAGTCAGGGCACAGGTGCGGCTGTCCTTGGTCGGCCTCTTCGCCAGGGTCGTCTCCGGGGCCTTGTCTCTGCTGAGGTGCTCTTCATCTGTGTGTTGGTGTGGGAGGCCGTGCGATTCCAGAGCTGCAGGCGCAGGCCCCACGTGCGTGGCGCTGGACGGCAGTGCCAGCCCACATAGCGAGAGCCTGGGATCCCAGCAGAGCCAAGGAGGCCCGCTGGCCCTAGGGCCCCCCCCCCGCAGCGGCCGGCACAGGGCCTCTTGCTGTTTTCTGCTCTCCCCCGTCGTGGCCTGCTGGGCCCACGTGGGCTGTCGGCCTGTTCTCCCCGATCAGCCTTAGTCCTGCCTGCCGCTTTCCACCCCACTGCCACGTTACTGGACTCCGCACAGGGGAGGGCCTCGCGGGTGCTGGCAGGCACCCTGGTCCTGACCCTGTGAAGGGCAGCTGTGTGAGCCTGTGGCGTGTGGAGACATGGCCCGAAAGACACAAAAGGGGTGCCCTTCGCGTGAGCGGGGCTCCCCAAGCCCCGTCCCCGCTCGGCCTCCCATGGCTTGGAGGAGCACAGTGCGGCCGTTGTTTGGTGACCCCAGCCTCACGAAGGGCGGGGGGACAGGGAGGCCCGGGGTGGGGCGTCCACGTAGGCTGCGTGCCCTGTCCCCCGGCAAGGCACCACGGCAGACCCTGGCCACGGGCCACACAGCTCCCTGCTGCTGCCCAGCTCAGGAGGCCTGGACTTCGTGCCTCTGCCCCCATCTCCCTCCCAGCTGAGAGGAGGGCACTTGGCGGCCTCACTCTGAAGGAGAGCGCGTCTCTCTTGAGCTGTGGCCGTCCCTTCCCCACCTCCCCCAGGACACACTGAATGAACCAGGCGGGGAGACGGGCCGTGTGCTGTGATCACAGCACAGCTGATTCAAAAGGCTGACATCTGTCCCGCAGCTTCCATGCCCAGCCTGTCCGCGATGCTCCTGGGGCCTTGTTAAATCTCAAGGCGCTGCGTCCCCCTCAGTGGCCTCTTGCTGTGGGGCTAGCATGTGAGCGGCTCCCCTTGACACACACGGGACGTGTGTTCTCCGTGTGCTTGCGCCGGAGGCCAGACCCCTCCCTCCCGCCACCCCTGCCAGTAGCGAGCCCTGCCTTCATTTCTCCCAGATTGACAGTATTGGGTTCTCTTCTTTTCTCATTTTTCTTTCTCTCTTTCCAACAACAAAAAGCCCTGAGAGCAGGGAAGCCCCACGGGCAGCCAGGACCCCTGGAGCTGCCTTCCTTCTGGCAAAGGCCATGGACTGTTTCTTTTTTTCTATTTTTTTTTTGGGGGTCTGGTCGTGGGGCCTGAACTCTGGGCCTGGGCTCTGTCCCTCAGCTCTTCAGCTCAAGGCTAGCGCTCTACCATTTGAGCCACAGCGCCACTTCCGGCTTTTTTCTTTTTGCTTATGTGGTGCTGAGGAATCGAACCCAGGGCCTCATGCGTGCAAGGCAAGTGTCCTACCACTCAGCCACCTTCCCAGCCCGCCATGGACTGTTTCTAAAACAAACGTGGCCCCTGGTGTTTCCCTCCAGTCTGGGTGGCATGGACTCCAGACATCTAGCTGCCAGGGTCCTCGTGGCATGGTGAAAACCATAACTCCAGCTGCAGTTGGGCCAGGGCCGGGCAAGGAGCTGTGAGGGGAACACCGTCCAAACAGAACCTGGGTGTGCTTTCCCGGGAGTGGTGCTGACCCCGCCCGAGCCAGGCCCCCAGCAGTGTGCCCGCCCACCCGAGCCAGGCCCCCAGCAGTGTGCCCGCCCCTGGCCACTGTGCTTCCCACTCACCTGCCTTTGCCAGTAGTGGGGTCGGTGAGAACTGGGGAGCCAGTGAGCAGCCCCAGGAGGCAGGGTCATAAGAAGCGGCGGGCCCCTGGCGGTCCTGGCTGCCGCCTCCCATGTGCCAGGGTAAGGGCAGAGGCGGTCGCTGTGCTGTCTCGGGCCAAGCCTGGTGCTGGTGCACACTGCAGCCATGCGTGCCCTGCCTCTCCTGGAAGCCTGGCTCACTGGGCATGTGCCACCCACCGGCGCAGTGCCTCTGCCCTGCCTGCTGCCCCTGTGGGCTCCTCTCCAGGGGCCTGGGCCCCGGCCGCCGTCTGAGCGGGGCAGCTTCCCAGGTGGCCTGCTGTGTCGCCACAGGTGAGCCACCAGCTGGGCAGCATCATGGACCTCTTCACCACCAGCCTGTCCCTCGCAAGCCTGCAGCCGCCCAGCGACAGGGCAGTGGACGGCCTGGACCTCCTCCCCACGCTCCTGCAGGGCCAACTGACGGACAGGTGGGTGTGGGGCAGGCGTGGCCGTGGCTCTGCGCCTGCCACAGCTCCCTTGGCCAGGCCCCGCACTGCTCGGGGCCTTGCTGAGAGAGGCCCCGGCTTTGGGGAGCCACCGCAAGGCCTGGAGGACGGGTCTTGTCCCCACCTGCGGCAGCCGCTGCCACCATCTCAGTCACCACCCCTCTGATTATCTGTGGTCTTGTGGCCCGCATCCTTCCCCTGTCTGCTTCAGGCTGTAGCCAGCAGGGGCTCACGTGCTGCCGTCCACCCTGAGCTGGGTCCCTCACCCCACACTGCCCTGTGCCCAGCTCAGAGCCTTTCTCAGTTCCTGGGTCCTGAGCAGCTGAGGAGCGGCCGTGCAGGCGCTCAGCCCCGGTCAAGGCGGCTGCGGGGCCAGGTCTTGGGAGGAGGGGAATGCTGCCTTATTTTTTTTCCAAATGTCTTGAAAGCTGGTCAGAGTGCTGCCGCTGAGAACCCAGTGCCTGTGGCTGCAGGCCTCTCTCAGGCCCCTCTGGTCTCCAGAAAGAGACCCCATCTTGCCAGCCTTAGTGCCCTCCTGCCAAGCCGTCCTCCGGGGGCCCTGAGTGAGCAAGAGGGCACCGGCCCAAGCCGGGCCCCAGACTTACTGGCCTGGCCGCTTTTCTTGGCTAGGGTGGAACGTAGGCCTTCATGCATGCTGGGGAAGCCCTCTGCCCCAGCCTCCCTCCCAGCCCCTCCCCGCCTGCTGCAGTCTGACCTCTGTCCCTTCCGCTGACCCCTACTCACACACTTAGCTACGACCCTCCCCTCAACAGGCCAATATTCTATTACCGTGGAAACACGCTGATGGCCATCACCCTTGGCCAGTACAAGGCCCACTTCTGGACTTGGACCAACTCCTGGGAGGAGTTCCGACAGGTATGGGGGCCGCCCGGGGTGAGACGTCTCCTGCTGTGCCTCAGCCTGGGCGATCACCTTCACTGAGGGTGAGAGGCCGGGGCGCTGCCCACAGCCCCGCACACACGCGGGGAAGGTGCTAGGGACCTGCCTCTGGACCCTGCAGGGCTGAACCTGGGGGCTGACTTGGACCCCACAGGCAGCTTTCAGGGAGCACAACACAGATCCCATAAAGGCCTCTACCACTTTGCCTTTCCACCCTGCCCAGAGCCCTCCTAGGCCCTGCTCAGCCTCTGCCCTGAAACTCAGAATAGGGTCACCTGGGCCCTGAGTTCAAGCCCCAATACCAACAAAAAGAAAGAAGGAAGGAAGGGAAGAAGGGAAAGAAAGAAAAAAAGAAAAGAGTTGGTACTGGAGTTCAGTCTGGAGAGACTCGCGCTTGAGCCCAGTCCGTACATGGCTCCCAGGCCTCCTGTCCCCGCTCCGCTCCGGTCTCTGCTCCTGCGCCGCGGGAGTGGGCGGGTGCTGCTCACCAGCAGGCCAGGAGGACAGCTGCCCCAGGGCAGCACTTGGGAGAGAGAAGCCCTGGGCCCCTGCGGCCTCAGCTTTCCCCTGCGTGTTACTCGCCGTTACTCTACGCCTTGCCTGCAGCCTCCCACCCCATCTTGTCTTTTCTATTCTCTTGGCTCTTGGTGCATAGGGTCCCTCACCTGCCTAGTTGTTCTTTTGGAGGGGGGGCTTGAATTCTGGGCCTGGGCGCTGTCCCTCAGCTCAAGGCGAGCGCTCTACTGCTTGAGCTGCAGCGCCACTTCCAGTTTTCTAGTGGTTTATTGGAGATAAGAGTCTTGTGGGCTTTCCTGCCCCGTCAGCTTTGAACCCTGATCCTCAGATCTCAGCCTCCTTGTTGCTAGGATTGCAGGCATGAGCCACCCGGCACCCAGCCCTTTTTTTTTTTTAAACAAGTACTGGAACTTGAACTCAGGGCCTTGAACTCTCGTCTAGCTTTTTGCTCATAGCTTACATTCTTTTTTTTTTTTTT